AAACTTACCAAACACTACCAGAATGAGAACATTATAACAGAACCTAAGTCTAAAATACTATAGGAGTATTTTGTGTTACTATAATTACTTACGTGAGAACTAAAAAGGATCTTCAGTACTAAATTGATGGTTGCTAAGTGGATATACTAAGGTTATATGTAACTAGGATGTCATAGACTTAGAATCTGTGAAATTCTGCTTTACGCCGGTTCCTTGTGAATTTGGAGTTGAGTTCACTTATTCGAAAGTCTATCCTGTTTTGATTACATATAACTGGTATGCACTTTACAAATAATGATGTAACTAATGAATGTTAACTAATAATTATCTGGATAGTTTGTCTAATAATTATTTCTTTACCTAAATTCTCGTATAGATAACATGGTTGGACTCCATCCCCACGACAACCCGTACTTCCCGATCAAAGGCAGTGCTGGATGGTTTAGAGAAGAACCAAAGAATGATCATCCACTCCCTTTTGAATGATCACCATGCTGAAGACCTTTCGGATGATGATAACTCCAAACTCGAGGATGAGAACCTACCCCTAGTAGCTCCCAATTCAAACCCTAACCCTCGTCCAACTCTTCAAGGCCTGACGCCTCCTTGGGTAGAATTCTTGGAAACATGGAGCGAAGATCAAGATCAACCTATGTCGTTTAATGGATACCGAAGCTTCTACCACTCAAGTGAAGGAATCTCAGCAGATAGAGTTCTACAAATCATAATCCGTAGAGTTGCCCGAAACGAAATTCAGGGCAGGACGACTTTTCAACGTATCGAACATGTTAATGCCAATGCAAGAATGCATACCATTCGCACCAATCACCTTGATCACCAGTGAGAGATCTGAGAGAAACCATGAGACCCTGCTGCAAGCACTAACTGAAACCCGAGGCGAAGTCATAGAGCTCCAAGAACGCCAGAGGGTGTACGAGAGATACCTGCTTGATATGAAACGTCAACTAACCGAACTAAGGGTTCACCATAGGGGTGACCGTCGCCAGTAGGAGATACCTTACTTCCTTCTTTGTTTTAAAGAACCATGTTCCTGTCTATGTTCTGTGTAGTGCTTTCTATGTGACTACCTTGTACTGTAAGTACTTTTATTTAAGTCTTTATGTTGTCAAGGACTTTTCTACTCCGAATATGATGTATGACCTACGACAAGGTCAATTTCCCAAAACCTATTACATCTTAAAGATCAATGATATCGAAAGTCGACTAACTTCCGTGTTACTCTTGGTTCAAATACCTTCATTTTACTACCGTTGGAGTCTATCTGAAACCCCATCTAGTCAAGTTATTGGACTATGGTAATTTAACTCCAAAACCATTTTCAAGCCTCTTTTAAAGGTTGGATCATATTATCCACTAACCTATAAGTATTGGACTATGCTTGTTTACTACTTGACATTGTTGTGATACATTACATGATGTCCTCCGCCCCAGAACGTTTTCGCCGTTCTCGGTTTTGGGGTGTGACATCTTATCATCCTATCAAGTTTTATGAGTGAAGGAAACCTAAAAGGGCCATGCTCATAATCGGGTCAAGTACATAACAAAATAGTTATGGGCTTAGACACCTAATCCAATAGTCTCCCACTTGGATAAGTCTAATAACTATTTTTCCAGTACGACTTCAGAACCTGATCAGCAAATGTAGCTTTCAATAGCCGATGTCAACTCTGATCTTATCAGTAACACGTCCTATAGATAAGGGATCATATACTTCTCCATTCTAGATATCGTATAGACATGAGACATGGATTATTATAATTCTATCTATGACGACTTACAACATACTATAATTGAACACATCAACTTCGTCCCGGCTTGGCCAAGTGCTTAGGGTGTCATCACTAAATCATCGAGGGGTCTACAGATATCGCTTTTATCCCACTTTGGGTAAAAGAATGGATAAACTTCTACTCATATGCTTGCTCTATTTACTCATCAAATCACATACAACAATACATTTTATAACACCAATGTACTGGTGCGTTTACGTATTATCAATGTGAAAACGACTCGTAAACTGCACCTATATGTCTCAGTTGAAGAATATAAGATATTATCGCCTCACTAATCACTCGTGATAAAATCCATGAAGTGATTCTAGTGATCATGGGTTTACTCCATTACTCCAATCTTATTTCATAAGTACTCATGAACGTTGCAGCAGACTTTTGTTATGTCAAATACACTTTAGACAATCCACAAGCTAATTCACAACAGTCTTCTTTCATACATACTTCCAATGAATGAGCGACTGTGGATGCTTTGAATAATCTTATTATTCGGGAAGTCAAAACATGAGAAGTGAAACACAAGAATAATATTAATCGTATATGGCCCCAAAAATTTTGAGTATAAATAAAACACCTTTATTTAATCACCATATTGATTACTCATTATTCATTGTATAATATTTCGAATAATTAACTTAATACTTGAATTATAACAATAGTTGTCCCATGATCCAAGCATGCACACTATTTATACCTATGGTCCGTACTTTGCGAGATAGATCAATTGAAAACATTTCCAATGATGCTCTTTTCGCAATTCCTAAACCTTATCACTGGTGTATGAATACCAAATTCTTACCACTATTAGAATAGGCTAGATTCTAACATTTTATGCAACGATCCTTTCGTAATGTCAAAGCGCCAAAGTCACCAAGAATTTGCCAATGAAATTGCAAATTTCTCTATTGGAGATTGTTACAAGACAATTCCATAGATACGAAGTCTCACATTCAAAGTACATGGCTTTGAACATCCTTCTTGCATAAAAGTTTCTAATCTAGACATAGATTCTTGATATCCAACTCCCATCTATGGAAACATTTCCATATTTTCTATATGAGAACTCATTCTAAATAGAGTCCTATATATTAATAATAATGTCAATATGGTCCATCCAGTACTATACTTTTAACTGCTCTCAAGGGATCAATCCTTAGCGAACCTTAGATCGTCCTTGATAGTTATTTAACCACCTTTAGTCATATACGGTTCCAATCCTTTTTCCTTTTTAATACCCTAGGAATTTGGAAAAAATTTACAACACGTAAATATTATAATGTATGCAATCGATCCTATACTCTAAGCGTATGGAACACGATTCATGAAAAACGTGATACATTCATATATATCTTTTGACTAAATTTGATTACAATTTCTCGATCCAAGCTTTTGGATTTTGAAATGAAGAATAATATTCTCTCCCTTAATTATAGCAAAACAACTTTTCAACCCATGCAACTTGGCAAAGTGAAACTTTTGTTTTCTATAAGTAATATTGCTAACTTGCAATATTTAAAGTAATAATCATGCTCCCACTAACATGATAATTATATCTATACCAACATAACATTTATGCTACCACTAGATTCAACACATATTCAGAAGTCAACTAGACTTCTAGAAAACAATATTTATTGACTTCCTTAACCAAAGTCCATGCTTCGGGTATGAGATGCTTTGAGAAGCCTTTATCTAAGCTTCTCAAACTCACACACCTTTCCTTAGATAGCTCACATGTGTGTCTAAACTATTTCAAAACTTGCAACAATGAGTCCCAAATGTTCAGACTAATTGCCAAATCTCATAATTTGAACTATGAAGAGTGATGTCGTAATCATAATCGAATTTGATAATGCAATTTACAAAATCGCTATCTCCTTAAAATCTTTCTAGTGAAAGCATTTCCTCACAATCTTTTTCATGAAGGAGAGAAACCTTATGACACTTAGATTTTATGGTGTATGTGTTCCTATCCTTGTGAATTTTTCATAACCATAATCATAAGACAAGGTTTGTGACAAATCCAAATTCATATGGACTGAACTTGTTCAATCTTTATTTCCTGCCTCCTGGCTGCACAACGGCCTACCATGTCTTCCAAGTAGTCAGGCAGCTCACCCATACAGATCAATGAAGTTTCATTGATCAAGGCGCATTACCTTTATGCATTCAAATGACAGATCTTAGAACTCACATGCATAGTCAACTCTATTGGAATGGCATAGAAACCTAGAATATGTCAACATAATATAAACCTCAAATCGTGTGCTAGTGATAAAAAAAACTAGGTTTACTCTTGATTAGTTATTGAAACTTTTCAAGACCATTTAGACTCCCACTAACCTCTTGACATATAAGATTCTCTTGTCAAGAACTATTTCTTAACAAACAAATACTCAAGAATTAGTGTGGATTTTTATCAAGAGAACACTTCACACAGTTGGTCATAGTCGGTCTTTGTCTTATCCAAGACATCACAACTTACCAATTTCAAATGTGTAGGAATAACAAAACCTTTGCTACTCCACACTTGATGAGTGTTTTAAACTTACTGAAGACGTATCACTTAATATCAAAATCTTGGAGTACGATTCTAAGACTTGATTTTGGAAAGAAGTATGATTCACCTTTTGATTTAACCAATTCAACAATTCCTGATTCCTCTTCTTGTCCATACTAGTGCACTAAGATTTACTTAGACACTACTAAAAAACAACCTTTTACGACGCTCATTGCGCATTGTAAAATGCTCAGACGACGCGCAAATGCACGTCAAGAAAGGCCATGTCATAAAGAGAGACGGCGCGCTTTTGCGCATCGTCTATAGACGACACACATTTACGACGCGCAGTTATGGCACGCAATGCGTATCAAGGAAGGCCCTGTCATAAAGGAAGACAACACGCATTTGTGTGTCGTAACCTTACGACACGCGTGTTTATGACACGCAATGCGTATCAAGGAATCCCCTGTCAAGAAAGGCCATGTCATAAATGAAGATGACACACAATTTTGTGTATCATAATTTTAAATGTTCTAAAAAAATATTGATATATTTTAAAATTTTAAAATTAAATTTGCATTTAATGCCTCATAATAGAAATAAAATATCATATACGAAAAATACAATCCATTGCATAAAATTTAATGTCATACAATTTTTATTTCTTACAATATCTAAATTTGCATCTAATCTACTCTGTGCATCAAATTCCAACTAAGTAAAGTTGCATCTTGCCTTTCATAATTCTTTAAGACTAATGCTCCAAGCAACTGATTATATGGATAAGCAGTTGTACATTGACCCATCTCACTCATGAATGACTTAGCCAAATTCAACTCCAAGTCTTTACTGCATGGAAAGATAAAACAAATCTATAACAAACTTTATTTCATATTCATACATATGATTACATTATTCATTAAAAAAACATATACCTATATCTTAGCCTAAAATGTTATTACATGATGCAAGTTGGCCACTTCATTGATGGATCTCCAAGAGGAAGACCAACAAATGTTGTTAATTTTCACAGATATGATAATATTTAAGAAAACAGAAGGGCAGATTTGTAAATTGTAATTGAACCTTCTCCATGGATTCAACTTTGTTCTCGGCTCCTAAAGTTTCAGTGGTGGTGCCTCTTGCTTGGCGCCATATACAAGCTTCATCTAGCGGCTCCACAAGCTCTGTATCTTGAGGGATTTCCACTTTCATCCGTATGTCTGTCCTGCCTGTTTGTTTCATAACAACACACCATGATTTTACCTAATATATTTTTTACTAAACAAAAATAGATACAATGGTGAAGTGAAAGAGCATGTAGATAGAGACAGTTAATTAATTACCTGCTAACAAGCTGAAATGTTGAATATGGTAACAAGCTGAAATGTTGAATATGATTCGCAGGAAGTCCCAAGACACCAAAATTTTAAGCAAACATTTACATACTCCTATTAAAGATTCTATAAAACAAAATTTTATAAGAAAGAATGTTCAAAGAGAAGATGAAGATCAAATTCAACTCACTTTCCAAGATCTTTCTCATGTACAACAAGGCCAATTACAGTTCCTTCCAACCCTACACAATGTATTACATCCAATTAGTAAGTAAATATAATCATATCTTGCAGGGGTAAAATGGTAATTTCTGTAATTATATAACCAAACACAAATTACCAGGCAAAGGCTAGGCAGGAGACAAATCTTCCAGTGAATATAGATGCATGACAAGAGTATAATGTTAACAATAATAGACACATCATGTCAAAGTTTATAAACCATGTCAAACTTATTGAGCAGTCAACTATGGCATTTCCAGTGAGTGACTCTGTATGTCCAAGGCAGTAACTTTGAATCTCATGAGCTCCATCTATAGGTTTCTTCGGGAGCATGGTGACCTGTCATTTAGAAAGAAGATAAGAACATGCTTAAGAAAATAGTAATCGTAATAATAATAATAATAATAATAATAATAATAATAATAATAATAATAATAATTATTATTATTATTATTATTATTATTATTATTATTATTATTATTATTATTATAATTTGGGTGTGAGAAGTTTATTATTACATGAATTTTGAAATCACAGTCAGCAGTAACAATGAACTTACCATCTGGTGAAAACTCCTGGACGATTATAAATCTGTTAGTAATATAACAAAAGAATAAAAAACCTAGTGCTAGTCTTCTTCTCCAGCTGGCAAAGTCGGGCGGATTGCACAACTTTCTTTTTGATGAAGTTCCAACATTTTCTTTTCAAGATTACAAAGCCGTACAACATCAAATATTCATCACAATCATCAAATCTAAGTTGAATTTAAAAAAGATTGTTTAGGAGAAAAAATACTAACCTGAACACTTGGTTGTAAATTGTCTGTGGGCTATTCTCCAAGCTTGTGCACAACACATATTGCATCATCTAACATAAAACAAATATCATAAACAAATATTCTTTTTAATTAAATAAAACACAATTCAAATGAAATACTTACAACTAATAATTTCATAGTGTGCAACGACACAACTCTGTCAGCATGATCAGCTGTCAACAATAAAGTTGGAGGGTATTGTCGGGAATTATAGAAGACTGCTCCCATGGTCTTTTCACATTATGCAGTGGTGCATACCTGATGAAAATGTTTTTTTTTTCTTAAAAAAAAGTTATTATTAGTAAATAACTGATTAATATTTTGAATAAAAATTGAGAATTTAATCAGGATAAGATAATGTTAGTCTCACTTGATCAACCATTGGAACTCTTCTTCTTTGTCTGAACAACCATAGTCAGAAGTCCACACATGACCTACAAAAAAAAAAGAAAACAAAACCATGACACAAGGGTACAATTGTAATTTTAACTAAATAAAGTTACGTTGCAGTTTTAGAGACGAAAGATCATACCTCTACTTTCATTCAACGACTATAATCTCATGACCAGACACATTTTAGGAGACCAAAGCTTTACACTATTGGCATCTTTGATCAAAAGAGATGTCACATCGTCTTCTGACAAAGATTTTAAAAAAAAAGCAATACTTGCAAAAATCTTTTAACATGGAAAACTAAACAATGGACGACACCTTTTTTTCCTCTAAATGATTTTCAATCAGTTTATGACCATTACAAATGAGTTGTTAGCAAAAAAGAAAAAGATTTAAAGTTGGAGGTAAAAGTCAGATTGACTATATGAAGGGCAATCAAGTCATTTTACTTGGGACTACGACAAGGACTAAAACTGTTATGAAAACCAAAAGTACAAATCGATTCCTTTAAGAACTTATTGGATGGAATAATCTTTTCGATTGATCTGTCAATTTCATATGTAATTCGATCATATTAAGTCAGGACCAAACATTGATCTCATCTGAAGTAGCAGCATCAGGGGATGAGTACACGAGTAGCTTCTACTTTCTAAACTCAAGCATGCGATCTGAAAGGCCAAAAAGAAGCTTTAGTTGGTTTACTATTTTTTATCTCATAAAGTAACTAGTTAGATACAGAGAAAAAGGATTATTTGTTTGTTTAATAAGAGTTTTATGTGGAATCGTGATTTCTTAATCAAACGATAAATTTGACCAAGAAAAAAAAACATTATACCTTCTGATACTAGCCAGTAGTAGTAGTTGTCACATGATAGCAATAGAGACGTTGACTTTATCTCACACCACATTCATGTAAACAACAACCACACTAGATTTAAGTTTTGGCTTTGTCTTCTTCATGAGCTCGGTTACAAGGCCAACATGTCCTAAACAATCCGTTGTCCCAAACCCTATATCAGATAACTTATCACAATTGATTGTTGAAGCAATCTTTTCGGCTTCTTCCGCTAATACCTCTGTTACAATTATTAAAAATGAAAAATGAAAAACTATATTTTAACTCAATGTCTCAATCAACAATTGAAAATGAGAAGGATGACGAACCAGGGGTAAGTACATTGGGAGGTGAATTTACAAGATATTTTCCCAAAATTACCCCTGAGCAAACATGCTCTGTGTACTTGAGTTTCTTTTCTAACTCGAGTCAACCTCCAAGGTTAAGAAAGCCAATTGACTTGAGAGAAGGTTTCTTTGACTCATATTTAAATATGTTATCTTCATATGTCCCTAACAATGCACCTATAATCGCAAAAATGAAATTAAGAAGATATATAAATAAATAAAACTTTGAGTAACACGAGGAGCATCAACAGGGTGAACTTTTGAACTGGATAACACTATAATTCTCTAGAAAGAAAGACATGTGATAACTTCTTTAATGACCTTAATATGACCAAAAAAAACTATTTTATACCTCACCATAATCATCTTAGTATAGTATCAATCTGTAAGCAATACTTAGATCAAAATTTGAGCATTCAGGTTGTTATTTCTTGAATGGAATATACCAGTTGCTATTGTTGAGGCAGTTGTAAGCTTCAATCCAATAGTTAAGTCATGTGAAGAAGCAAGAGCAACAACAACATTGTTACCTTGAGAAGTTTTAGCAGATAAAGCAACAGATTCACCAAGACTTCGATAAGCAAAAACGGAAGAAGATGAAGTTATTGGGGCTTTTCCAAGCCCAATTAATCTAACTCGTTTGGTTCCAAGACCTGAAAGAGATATTTGGTGTTTTAGAAAGGAGAGAGATTATCAGATTAGGATAGGAAATCAGTCAAGTTATGAAATTAGGATAGTGTGTAATTGTGTATGTGTATTGTTTAATTTCTTAGACAGATAGACACACACAAAATGATAAGCAATTGGTCGAACAATTTAAGGGCATTAATAATTTCTCATCAATCTGGCCCCTCAGTCAAGAAAAAATCCGATACTGATAAGAAGAAACGAGGCCTCACCAATGATAAGAAACGAGACCCTAGTACTGATAAGAAGAAATGCGACCTTACCGATGATAAGAAGCGAATTCCTAAGGTTTTTCGAATGTTTCTTGATTTTCCAGAACAAGATAAGAACAAGTGTGGTGTGGACTTACATGTAAGGCTGTAGAGGGGTAAATAGGAGGTTGAGATCGATCCTGAGCGATGACAGAAGTTCAGCTACCCGGGAATATGCTAAGACCAGAGAAGAACTCTTTTCTGAAGTTCAGCATCACGAGCGAACCTGATAATTACCTGATGGAAAACCGAGAAGATGAAGGAAGATGAGACGATCATAGAAGCGAAGAATAAAGAAATCGCAGAGATAGTTAGAGACAGCGAGGGAGGGCGGCATACGACAACGACAAACTTCATCATCTTCTTCCACTGCCTGGTGGTGTGTGATTCGCGGCGACGACCTGATTAGGGCAAGAGGGAAACAACCATCGAAATCGACAAAACCATCTCCGAAATTGACTTGAAAGCACCTCCGTTCATCATCACCAGCAGATCCATGGTAGTCTCCCTTTTTTCCGTCACTTCTCACAATAGAGAAACAAGAGGGGAGAGTGGATTGTGAAGATGAATAAAAGAAGGTAGAAAAGAAAGGCGGGTTTTCAAAATTTTAGGGTTTTGTTTTCCCCCTTTATCTTCTCAAGGCGCGTTTCACTAAAATTATAAAGCGACACCTACAGAAGACGCACGGATAAAGCGCCCTCCGTGTTTTTTTTCTTGAGACACTAATTTAAGGGCACGCAAAAATTCGTGTCCACTATCCTTCAAATTTTGGAAGTCTGATATTATTTTTAAGGACGCCCAAAAATCCGTAATGTGAATCAGCGAGTGTCATTGTTTGCACATCATTAAAGGCTATTTTTCTTGTAGTGAGAGGACCAATTGTGATATGGTTTCATAATCAATGAGACGATCATAAAAGATGACACTAAAGTACTCTCCTATCTTTTCAGATTGGAGAAACGTTTATCTTTCTGCCCAATTGATTCTTTTTATTCGTTTTGCCATTCATCGAAACTTTTCAATGATTCAGAATTACACTTAATCTTGTAAGCATAACCATATTCACTAAACTGTTAGAAAATCATGACGAATACTCTTATTGTTATTTGTAATGGACTTGACCACTGCACAACATTGCACACCAGATCTCCTAGTCTTTCACTTTACTCACATACTTATGTGAACAATGAATACCTCTTAATTTCCTAAGTACCAAGATTTCCATACATCACATGACTCAAATCATATGATTCCAAGCTTCTATCTAATTGAAACTTGAGCGTTGGGAATCTTTCCTTACTTAGAAAGTTACGACACTACCATAAATAACATGACTAAGAATCACACCCACTTAATATTGCTTATAATAGAAACACACAAACATCAATTTTCACAAATGACATTGTAAAGAGATATAAAGAAGAAAAAACTCAAAATTTATTTAATTTATAAAAAGGTGCGGAAAACTTGTCCTTACAATGCAAATTCAAATGAAAACTATGCTATTACAAATTCCTATGCAATCTATCAGAACTCTACGCAGCAGCTCAAAAATCCAATCGTGAAATCATGCGATCGAAATCCATTTATTCTTGATCAAACTCAGCTCACTTCTTCCTTTAAGAATAATGTATTAAGAATCTCCAAATAGAAACTTAATAAAGTTAAATAGTGGATTTACCTGAAGCAGAGTCATACATGTTGACTCTCCCATCCTCTAGATCCTTCAGGTAGGTGTGGCAACTTTGCAATCAATGCCCCTTATCTTGGCAGTATAAACAAACGTTCTCCTACAGAATGGTTCACGGGACAATCTCAAAATTATCCTTTCTCTTGAGTAGAAAAAACTTTTCTAGACTACCAATGTTGCCATTGTCCATGGAAGGATGGGAGGTTTATTTACCAGAAAAATTTGCTTGACCAGTGCGCCAAATCATTGTTCATTCAGTAGGAATAAGAAAATAGGAAAGATCAATGAGGGTCACGTGTGATTCGAGAAGTGGTTAAAGAACCAAGTCAATAGCAACTTCCTTGAGACAATGACACCCAACATTCCCAACTTGTCAATGTGTGACTTCATCTCGAGACGTGTGCACACACAGACCTTTCATCTTCATGTTTACTTGCCAATAGGGATTGAGTGACCTGGAAATTTTCAAGACTTCGAACACATGGGTCAGGGAGAATTATTGGAGGAGGTGGAGGAAGTGAAGCATGATTTCCATTTCCACAATCCAATCGTGGAATATCATCTTCATGTGGAAAACTTTTTCCAATGGATTCAGGAAGACCATAGTCATTTGACATCTACAAAACTGGAGAGAATTCAAGTTAGTTGATTGAGTCCATAATAAAACACTCAACTGAAATATTAAGGCTAGGATCCAACACAATATTCTACAACTCGGAAGAGGGATGTCGTAATCCAGATGCGTAATATTTTAAGGTAGGTAAATGATGATTTATCAATTTCCACCATGAAAAAAGAAAAGAAAATTTGGTTTCAAATGATTTGAAACTCTTACATCTTATGAGATTCATTGAACTTTTCAATGGCATGTTTAATTTTGATTACACCGTTCAAGTTTGTGACCGGGATGCCGAGGATCACAAACAAGGTGTGCATAACCATGAAAATTAGCTTGGTACTCTCGAAGATGTCCATCACTTAATCGATGTGCCGATTAACCACACACGCTCTATTGATCTATGATATTCTACGAGCTACCCATTGTCATCCTTCATTGGTCCCATATTAGGGTGTCGGTTAACCACACACGCTCAACTAACGACCAACAAGGTGAAATGTGCAATTTCATGGATTAACACCAATTCCACATTTTTCCTAAAGTAACTAAGATTTGGGAATTTGTAAAAATGTTAGTTACTTCGTATTTCATTATACTTATAATGGAAGGTTGCTTCCTATCCTACCCATTCGGATAACGACCCTCCACTAGTCAATAGTGCGGTGGGTAAAAGTGGATACCCAATGGCGGTCATTTTATAGGCCGCTTCGTAAAACACCCCTTATATACCAACTTCGTGAATGAGGCATTCTAACGCTAAGACTGACTCTTTACTCATACATATATAATATTAGACTTTTAATTTTATATTGTATAAGGATGTATTTTACTCTTTTGAAATACAATGTGGTCTAATTTAATAAAATTACACTTTTAATTTAATTAAACACAATCCATTTCATTATGGATTTTAACTCTCTTTTAATTATACACTTAATTAATTTAATAAAACCATAAGGGTGTTATATGAATTTTTCAAAATTTAATATTTCAAGATTAATACCTTTTAATTAAATTTTAAATTCCAAAACTTGAGGAAAAATTTTGAAACCTTTCAAAATATTAGGGTTTAACTATTTAAATTTCAAAAACTAAAACTTTTAAGTTCAAATTTAAACTATAAAACATAAAAGGTGTAAATTGAAACTTTTCAAACTTACTAGGTAACATATTTGAATCATAATAATCCTATATTACCCTTATTTAACCAAATCCATCAATTTTGATAAGGATAACCATTCCAAACATAAAAAAATCGATTTTAGGCAAGAAAAACGAGTTTAGGTAATTATCGTCATCAAAAACTACTCAAAAAATCGAAAATCTCAGCAACTACACCCTGGACTCGCCGAGTCCACTGATGGACTCGCCGAGTCGGCTGCGCAGACAGCAAAAATTTGACTCTTTTATCCTTTGGCAGTTCACATTTGCATCTATTCAACTAGAAAAACCAACCTAGGCTCTGATACCATTGATGGATTATAAGCATAACATCAATCCTATGGTGGTCATGCAACCCTAATTGCTTTAATCTACGTTTTTCTAATTTGAACATACAACATTGAATATCAAAGCAATAAACCCTAGATCTAACATACTATTATCGGAATTGACATAACATTCGGGTTAGAAACATTACCTTGATTGTTATGTAGCAATAAGAATCACAAACCTTCTTGATCTTAACTTCTGAAAGCCTAGTGCCCCAAGTGTTGCACCTCTAATGGAGTCACAAACACTCAATGCCAGAAGATGACTTAGGAGAGATGTGAAATCGGCTAGGGCAACTCAAAGAAGACAAAGCGCCAATTTCCATATACTAAGGGATCTATTTATAGATGAGGCTATTAGGGTTTATGGTGGAAACCCTAATTTCCTTGCTTAGGGCTTAGGCAATCTATGGAGCCCATCTAGAAAGCCCTTGGATGAAATCCTCTTGGTCTCTCCATAGATTTCGTCTAGTTCCTTTCTATTAGGGATCCATAGCCCAACTAACATCTAATAGATAATTGCAATATTAGCCCCAGTTATTTAATAAGTCTCTTTTGATCACCAAATTAATTCCAAATTAATTTGTAATCAATACTAATTAAATATTATGATTTCCAAATAATATATTAATCTTGTGATATATTAATAAAACCATTTTGAGTATGAATTTATTATTCATATAATAAATTCTACTCTCTCTCCTCTTGTCATCCTATCAATTTGCATGAGTAAAACCATTTTGAGTATGAATTTATTATTCATATAATAAATTTTACTTTTTGTATTTTTGTCAAATAAGGCCCCTTCTACAGTTTTGTTTAGCTTTCAACATTCTTAACATGTTTTATCTTACAATCTCATGGTATGTGCATAATTGATTTAGTTAGCAAATATCACCAAGTTTTGGTAGTAATTTCGAGTTTCATGAAGTTTCAACACAAAATCAAAACATATAATATGAAAAACACATATAAACATGCACAAATACATCGATCTAACACAAAGCAACTTGTATCCTCCCCCAAAAACAATATAAAACCGAAAACAATGGGTATGAACTCACTTTGGGAGATGGATTCGATTTTGGTGAATAGTGATGGGATATGAGAATTCTAACACTCCTAAGTGTACATGCAACCCTAAATACCTTGGATCTATGTTTTCTCTGTTATACATGCAAATATCAACTTTCCAAGGTATTGTTCTATTCTAGCATACTAAACTTTGAATAACACAAGTTAGAATAACATACCTTTTTTTGGTGCTTGTCTTCATGAAGCTTGAGTGCTTAGTGCCCCAAGTGTGACACCTCAAATGGTTCACACAACACCATAAGCACTTGGAATAACTTAGAGAGAATTCTACACTTCATGAAATCGGCTAGCCCTTTCTTACTCTCTCTAGTAGTCGATTTTGGTCAAGAATAAGATGCTTATATAGTTAGGGTTACACCATGTAAACCCTAATTGACATGGCCTTTCATTTCCATGATCCATGGGTACAAAAACACCATGGAGCATCCAAGGAGCATCATATGGGTTTTAGCCCAACTAGATAATCCATAGAGCATTAGCCCACTATATAAGTATGGATGATTTGTACAATCAACCCATATATTTAATTAGTCTTCTTTTGATCACTTAATTAATCCTAGATTAATTCTTGATCAATACTAATTAAATAATCTTATTATTCTTA